TTGAGAAGGAGAATCCAGCCCTCGATGCTCGGGATGGGGGCCCCGGGGAGGACCCCAGGAGGCTGCTGAAGCCGCTCATAGCGCGCGCGCGTGCGGCGAACGCGACGGGGCCGCGGCAGCCCCTCCATCGCGGCGGGTTCGGGCGCCATGGGCCCCTCCCCCCCCCGGGGGCCGTTGCGAGATCTTCGCTCTCGAGCATCCCGTCCACCCTGCGCGATTCTACAGAGACAAAGAAAAGAAGAAAAGGGAGGAAAAAGAATGGGGTGGGCTCTGCACACCGATCGGCGGGAATTCACGCGCACGTCTGGATAATCGGGTTGAGATTTCCCTATTGGATGTGTATGGTTCCTTCTTGGATTAACCTTGGAAGAGGTAGAGTGGAGGAGAAGATAGTGTCAAGACAAGCCGGCTTTTTTGTTGGCACAACTTACAGAATAATTTTTATTTTAATAGCATCCATACATCGTGGAAATGCCTAATTGTAATGTTCCCCTTTTGAATTTAAATATGCTGAAAAGGGTGAAGGCACATATCTTCACACTGATAGAAAAACAAATGCTATGTGTTCTAAAAAAAAAGACATGGTAACATTCACAGCTCCCCCAAAGAACTTTTTTACAGAAACATAAAGCGTTATAGAATAATTTTCATAAAAAATTTCGTATAAAAAAAATTTGATCAATGTTTTTGTTTACACAAATCCTCAAAGATCCTCTCCGTTCCACCGTAATCCTGGCTTTGTCGTTGCCCCGCCGCAACCGGTCAGTCGAGGCCCGTATCGGTGATCACCCTTTACGTAGCCCCCGCGCATATTGCCCGTAATGATGTACTGTCCATAGGCCTTGATGATGGTGGCCTCGGTGTTGTTTCGGTTAAAGATTCTCCCAGTTTTCACCGAGGCGTATCGATTCGACCGCGACATCAAAACGTCTATTTTACATTGGAATTCAAACGGCGTACAAGATTCGACACCCTCACCAAGCTCCACACGGATGGGGTAAAGAATGCCCTGACGCGCAAAAGGTTCGCTCTGCCTCATTGAATCAACAATACGACAAAAAACAGGCGCAGCACGAAAAGTGGTGCCACGAAACATTGATCACAGTACCAAACAACTGTACCTTTGCAACTTCTAAAGCATATTGTTTTATTTTGGGTGGGTTAAAAACGTATAGAAGATGTCACCCCCAATATCCAAAAGAAAACTTAAAAGGACAAAGGTTTTGGAAGGGGTAATTAACCGATCAAAACTGTAAATGAGTGCTCACGTACCATAAGTCTTCATAAAAATGTCTGTGATCTATTTCTTCTGCCATTTTAGAGACATCTAAAGCACCTCTTTCATTGTGATGACTTAGTTGTGAATAAGCAGACAGATATCCATAACAAGAAGCACAATGATGGCTCGTTGTTTAAGAAAAAGAAACCAGAGTTTACCAAGAACAAGTCAAGCTAAATAAATTTATTTGCATAAAGTCATAATGATCTCAGGGAAAAAATGAGTACTGATTCACATCACAATATATATTCAATTAACATTCCAAGCCATGAGCTCCGTCGCAACGTCTGCAGGCATATAAACCTCTTTAACCGCATGATCTACGAGACCTGATCCCTTGACCAATCAAACAGAAGGGAGAAAGTTTAGCGTAGATAAGTCCTGTATAATGACACTCAACCTGTTCACAGTACATAAATGAGTGAAAGGGATCTTTATCTGTAAAGATCACCCATATTTTACCATTCTCATTCTCCTAGGAACACACAAGCGCACATGCAACCTTTTCATTATGAGGACATGCGCTCATTAGAAAATTGAAGGTGTAAAAAGCACTTAAAACAGAAGTATTAGGGATTTTATTCCTTGAGTTGTTCATCCCTCGCCTTTTCCCCTTTTCATTGAGTAGTTTAGCAAGTGCATGAAATAATTCGAATCCTTTTGGAGGAGCGTGAAGGACACTCTGTGAATTTTGCACAAATATCCTCCCAAAAGAGAGGAAGAAGAGCAAAAATAAATCCCTCTGAGGTCATCACCTTCAAGGTCATAGGAATAAATAAGCACGGTAATGCTTATACCAAGCGATACGAGAAATTTCGCATGAGGTAGATTACAATCACAGGAAGTTCTTTAAAGCGTAAGGGTTATGCCAGCCGAGTAGTGTGAAAAGTGGAATATTTAAAAGTCCCTTGGAAAAGACATGGTTATCATGTTTAGGTCATCATCTAATCGACAAGGGCAAGGCCCCCCAACCGATCCTGTGACGACGCTGGAAGTAGGAAAAGAAAAAGGTAAGCTGTACTTGGGTTAGTCTAATGCTTCCTCTCTGACTTTTGAATGTTTTTTTTTGGAAAATAAAAAGAAATATCAAAACTTCTTAGGTTGATATTCATCAATTTTCCTTTACTTCAGATTGATCTAACTCTTTACAACCGTACAGAATATTCCCGCCTTACAAGCGTCGGTTCAGAGAAAAGGTACGTTTCAGGCCCGTTACAGTATTCAACAGTGATAAAATATCTTTGAAAATATACTTTGCAATGAAAATGACATATTCTTCCGCATGTAGTAAAAATATTTCACGTAAATTATAAAAAGTGAGAAATGTCTTTATTCAATTAACACATATATAGTTGAATACATTCACATATATATATATATATACATATATGTATAACTAATAAAAATAGATAAAGCGTTTTGAGCCCATGGATGTAAAACGCTAATTTTTACGTAAGCATTGATGTCTCAGTAAAAAAAAACATTCCTACTAGAGTACTAAAAGGGAAAAAAAGTGATTTGAGCAAATAATCACATAATTTATATGTCAAGAGGGCATAAAGACAAACCTATGCAAGAAAAGAAGAAAATGCAAGCAAATAATAGAAAAAAATAGGAAGGCCTTATATGTTGAAAATCATGAAAATTGAGTAGGTGTCAGAAAAGCACGCTACTCTATAAAAATCTAGAGCATAAAACAATATAAAAACAACATAGTGTACCTACTACGGATAAAAGTGCTGGTAGTATTCATTTATTCTGTATGCGTGTTGCGTGAAATCTAAAATATATATACTTATATATATATAATGAAGGAAACGGAAATAATAAAAAGATAAACTATATTTGATATCGCTTCTCCCCTAAATTAAAATCAATTAATACACATACGCTGAAAAGGTAACTGTATTTCGAATGTACTTTATCCTTTTCCCCTGATTCCCATTTGAATCAATAATGATAACTGATTTCTATCCATACTCATTTTGAATACTAATACACAACAAAAAAAAGAATTCATGATGTGTCACACCCTGCACTCCAGTCTATGGTCTAGAAGTACTGTTGATCCTTTGTGAACGATTGAATGTGCGGACAAAAATACTTTATGATGAAAGCGGTGTCGGTTTTGCCTCCACCTTCATAGTGGCGTCCAACCGCATATTGCACCATTACGCTTTGGATTTTATCGTAAAAACATTGCCTTTCAAAAGTAGATCCTGATCTTGCGGCATGTCCCACGGCGCACAAGATCGCCCTACCTGTCTTGGGATAATGGGATGCGGAGCACTTTCTCCACCCTGGTCCTCATATCCCCCATCTCCGTTTCGGGAGGCAGACGAGCCACCGGTATCCCTTCCCGGTTAATCAAAAAATAGGTAAAGTTCCACTTGATCGAAACCTGTCCCATTGTCCCTTTGAGGCAAGACTTCAGGTAGGTGTACAAGGGCGATTCATGCGACCCGTTGACGTCCACCCTTGACAGAATCGTAAACGCAATATCGCTGACGCCGGGGTAGAGGCTCAAGACCGTCTGGGCAACCTCCTCATCCACCCCAAGTTCGCTCGTGCCGAATTGTTTGCAGGGGAACGCGAGCACTGTGAACCCTTGATTCTGGTAATCACGTTGGAGGGTGTTCAAAATGGTGAACGATTTCTCGGCATACTCCTTGCACCGCGCAGCGATATTACATATCAAAAGCACCTGGCCTCTATGTCGGGAGAGGTCGTAAAGCTCCTGATTCCCATCC